AGTTCTAAGTTTAATCTACTTTGCAATTAGTGAATGATACAGTGAACAATCTGCTAGTATAGATAATAGTAGATGGGATATTTTTGTTGAGTTTGGCAATCCAATTAAGTTGTTTGCAGAAGTACAAGGACAATCATTTATAATGTTAGTTTTTTTTTTTCTATGTTCCCATTGTTAGTTAAATTTGTTGAAGGTTCAGGAATGTAGTGATATGTTTTAGGTGGGCAAGTGGCCTTCATAATCCCAGGCAAAACTACAAAGGTATTTGTTTGATTCATGGGAGGCCGAAATTAACAACTAATGGAAGTTTCGCTGATAACACTTTTGTTATTAATGATTAAGGTGTTTTACTAGTAGCTTTCCATACATTATAACTTAAATAAAGCATTTTGAAGTTTTCCAGTGCTGCTGGTAAAAAGCGTTTGGGGTAGGGAGTTGGACCTTAGCTCCCCGTCTCAGTTTAGGCAGTAGATGGTCATAGAAAATAATTCAATGATAACCCTCAGAGACTCATTTTATTTATAGGGTATATCTCTTAGTTTGTGGGTGTCTTTGATCTGATTGGGTTGTCTTTTTTTCAGTAGAGTGCTACATTCGTTGATTCTGGCTTCTCTCTGATTATTTCATCTTTCATTAGTGATACCTAGCAATTTCTCATTTTAAAATTTTTCCAAAGCTACACACATATGTTATTGCCTAATTTTAGTGATTACTTGTGGTATGGGTTTTAGGGAGATGCTGACAGCGCGGTTGATAGGCTATGGCAGAAAAAGAAGGCTGAAGTCCGTCAACAGTAGAATACTCATATATGCAATATGGAGACCATATGCTACTGGGACTCTTTCTATAGTTAGGAACATTTGTTTTGATGGTTATGCTACTTGAATTTTTTTTGTAGCCCGGTTTTATTTCTGTGGAAACTATTCTCTTTTGTGGATCCTATGTTTTCTTGGAATAGTATTTAGAGGTTTGTGATGATCTAGTACCGCAAATTATTTTCCAGTTTCATTGCTAGTCTGACTGCACATAGACTAGTCCTACTTCTAAGAGCTTGGTTTTGAACTAAACTTTTTATTCTGTGGAGATCTACTGCCAATATGTGACTGAAATCTTTAAAGCTGAAATATATTTACTCCCTGTCAAAAAAAAGCAAGAACTAATCGACGTTTTTAAATATGGATGCATGACTATAGTTTTCTCAGGTTCTGTTGCAACATGCAACTGTGCAAGACACAAGACATAAGATTTGAGATGTACTTTTCTTTATATTTCTTGTGAAAGGCACTAGAATAGCTTGGCCCCATCTGCTAGTGTCTTCTTTATGTACAGGTCATTTTTTGAAAACTTCGAGCTATCCTTCCATTTCCTCCTGCTGGAAAGAACCCACCAGGGATATGCTCATTGCCACTTCCATATACCACTCTTAGAATCTCAGGAGGGGTTCGTGCATAAGACAGTGAGTTGGGGTCGGCTGATAAGACATTGCTGCATGTCCGATTCTCTGAACCTAGTTCTGGTGGAAGGTTGAGGCCTTCATCTTTGGTACCACACATTGCCAATCGGTTCCTCAACTCAGTTATGCGGATGGTGAATTCAGCTACAGTATGATTATATGGATGAACAACTTCAAATCCTCGCTCATACAAATACATTCTTATGACAGCATCTTGGCCACATTCAACACCCAACAGCCCAGCCAACAACTACAGAGGTGTGTGTGCAATGTAACACATGAAACAAGATACAGAGTTACCGAAAGGAACATAAACAGTATATAAGAAAACTGAGGGAAGGGAAAATCATCTTCTTACTCTTTTGGTTATGTAGCCTTTGAGAAAGGGATTGGCACCAACATAACCTACAAGCCCCATGTATGGAATCACGTAGGAAGCCAACATGTAATTGATACTGTTAGCGTACGGATCGAAAGGAGGGTCTAGATGGTATCCAAATGCTTCATCCATTATTGTCGCAAAGTTGTAAGAGCTCAGATTCAGCAAAGGCCTTGGGAATCCGCCGACAGTTAAATGAATAGCCCTGAAAACTGGATTATTTAGATTCATTCATCATTTTACAAAATATTGAAATTTAACACAGAAATAACTGAGTGTCCTGTGTATGTATGTGGCGTGTTTTACTGTTAAAATATAAAACACCTGACATGACCAACTTCTTGATACCCAAACTCAGTAATAATGTGTTTTGTAAGATTGTCAAGGTTGGCTTTCATGGCTCCAATTGGAGGTGGACCTCCTAAAACTAGCTCAGCTGCAACTTTATCTAGTCCATATCCCAGTGCTCCATTCAAGAAATGTTCTGCTTCCAGGAACTCGAGATTCAGCGAAAAATGCATCAGTTCCACATCAATGAGATCTATCGGTACATCATACCATGGATAAGTTGGTCCACACGAAGCGTTTGATGCAAATGGCTCATATAGAATGTCTGGTGCATGAAATAGGTTTGATGAAGCAGATGCTCCTGTATTCCTAAAGATCATGAATATGAAAAAGAAGTAAGTCAGTTTTGTAGCCATTATTAAGTAAGAATACAAGTTAGAAGAATGGGAATTGTGCAAGAAAGACTTTATAATTTATAGCATAGAAGCTAATACTTCTCTTGTTGTAGTTGACTTGTGTCATTACTTCTTGCTACTATTATTAGAAAGAGTTCACATTCTCATAGCTAGGAACAAAGAAGATCGAAAAAGTGTAAGGTGAAAGCCGAAAGGCAAGTCTGATTGTTTTAAGTTTCGCGCATATTCACCTTATCATCAAGCATAGTCTGACCAGTAGATGGAAAGTTATTAATTGGTAGTTGGAAGTGAAAGCCTTAAGCTTAGTTCCAAGAGAATTCCCAATGTGGTTTGATAAATAAGTTCATTGCTAGCAATTTGTAGTTTTCCTTCCCAAATAGAAGATACTGTTTGATCATTTCATTTTAACCACCTTCATTAATTGATGGAGATAAGTTGCTTATCTGTCCATCACTCCCAACTTTCAAATGAAATTGTTACACGAAATGATTTTCTAGATTACCAGTCAAAATTAATTAGCACCATCAGCTTAATTAGTACACTTCTATAAGATCTTGAGTAGTTATTGCGCGGTGGCAAACACTTCTACACAATCACATAGCACATTGATAATCTAAATATCTAATTATCTTTTGAACTACATTGTTTCATACTTTCATCAAAGAGACGTTGTGTAAAATTTACAGCATTGTGAGTATTAAAGATGTTTGCAGATTGCAGATGCAGATGTAGACTTTTCTTCTCATTTGAACTCTACTTGCAGGCATAGACGTATAGTAGACCTTCAGTCTCATATCTTATCAATCTTATCAGTTTTAAAGTTGCCAGACCCCGTGATTAAAGTAATTAGTATTTTTGTAAATTACTTCGTGTTGTATTAAAACTACGGTAGTCCAAGGTAGGTGCCCCAATACCAAATTTCGTGCTGTACACAAGCAGGGTAGATATTATTATTTCATTTCCAAAAGTGGTCAACACGGTATTTAACCAGCAGCAATACTGAACATATGGCGCTTCAGCTCTACAAACAAAATCATTTGTTCTGAAAAAGATTCCAGGTAGGAATTATTTGAACAACAGACCTCCGAGTTATCTCCCCAGAGCAAAAACCTTATATAATATTAAGAACTAGTTCCTTACAACCAGATCGGGTGAAGGGACTTTGGAGATAACAATGGTCTACTGCTCAATTGTACGCTTAGCACCATCCAAGGTATTTTTTAGCAACATTGCAACAGTCATTGGGCCCACACCTCCTGGAACTGGAGTTACCCAACCAGCAACCTTGCAAGCTTGTTCGAAGTCCACGTCACCTACAAGTCTATAACCCGATTTTCTACTTGGGTCATCGACAGCATTTGTCCCGACATCAATAACTGCTGCTCCAGGTTTGATCCAATCACCTTTAATCTGAACAGGAGAAATAGTTTAACACAAAACTTACTCCAGTCCCAAACATGTAATTGAACCACCACCATATGAATCAACCAAAATGCTAGGCCAAAAAATCAGCCCGGTAACTCCATAAAGAGAAGATGGACCCCAATAGAGAGATTCCTCTTAGTGGAAATATATTGGAGTTTACTGTGTAGCATTACACAATGAAGCTCCAAGGAAACACACTGATAGTTTAAATCAAGTGCGTGACGAGTGTAACTGATGCTATAATTGCAATATAATATAGAAAAAAATATCAAATTTTAAAATTACCATATTCGCCTGTCCAGCTGCAGCTATGATGATGTCAGCTTCACGAATAATGCTTTCAGAATCAGTGGTACGAGAGTGAACAACAGTAACTGTGGCATCTGCTTTAAGAAGTAGCAAGGCCACTGGTAATCCAACTATATTACTGCGACCCACTACCACTGCCCTTTTACTTTTTACACTAATGCCACTCCGAGAGAGAAGTTCAAGGCAACCCTGCATAGAAATTAGGCAATCAGCTAATGTCAATAAATAAAACTACTTGTAAGAAGATAAATGAGGTTGGGAAAAGTTCAAGAATATAAAGAGAAAAACTGATGGGGTTTCATAATCTAATGTAAAATAATACCTTTGGTGTGCAGGGCTTGAATAATGGTTCTCGCCCCTTCATACCAAGTTTGCCGATGTTCAAAGGATGAAAACCATCTACATCCTTCTCAATACTGATTTCATTTAACACCATCTCTTCATTTATATGTCCTGGAAGAGGAAGTTGGACAAGTATCCCTGCCATCCAAGTGAGTTGGTTCCTATTAGAAAAAGCATAGAGTGCTAAAAACATGCCAGGATAAAGATGATATGGTAAAGTGAAGATTCATATTTTCATATAATAATAGACATCTGAAATGGATAGTGCACACATAAAGTGGATAACAAAGGGAGTGAAACTAACCATGGACGTCGGGTTGGGAATTTAACTCTTGTACCTTCTGGATCAATTCAGCTTCGGATACTTGCTCGGGAAGATTAATATCAAAAGATTTAATCCCAACCTCAGCACATGCCTTTCTCTTCATATTCACATAGCTTTGAGAATCTTTCCTGCTGCCTACAATGATGACAGCTAGTCCAGGGACCTTTGCAGGACAAGAAAAAACAGGTTATAGTAGTGTCTAGTTGGAGAATGGTCATAGTTCAATAGATGCCTGGACAATTCAAGACAACTCAAAACAAACATTACTCAACTCCGAAGACTTAAACACCCAAATGCAACTCTAGCACTTGTATCGATCCGACCTACTGTACTATGAACTCAAACACATTCACAATTTTCATCCATAGAGATACTCGATTAACTACATTACATCAAAAAATAAATATTAAAAGTTATTGCATTCCTGAAAACTT